TTGCTTTTCATCATTTCCAATTGTAGACCTATTGGCTAGCTAGACATCTCAGCCATAATTTGTGTATTTTTCTTTTTGATAAATAACAAAGATTGAATTTTCAGAGCAATAATTTATATAAACTGCAGATATACTTTATATTTAGTTACCTTTCTACTTCTAATGTTTTATTACTTTGTGGAGCAATGAACTGGGGCTAATATTGTTTAGAGCTTTTGTTGATATTTTGCTAGCCTTTTAATCCATATATGGGAATCTGTTAAGAACTTATCTCTATATCTTAAGAAAACTCTTTTATTTGGTAATGATTGTACAGGCCAGTTAACACTGTCCCACAGTCATAGCCAGTGGGAATGCTAACTCGACAAATCAGAGAGCGCAAGGATGTGTTCCACATACCTAAAAAATTGTAATTTAAGGATTTTATATTGATATTGGAGGGGCTAAATATACTCTTGCCTTCTGTATTTTAATATAAAAAACCTGAAAGTAAAATATTTTTCTATATGTGGATAACAGGATTTTTTTTCAGTTTCAGTGAGGTGTAATTGACAAAATTATAATACAATTAAAGTGTACAATATGATTTGGTATATGTATATATTGCAAAAGGATTCTGCCATTGAGTTAAGTAACACATTCTTTACATCACATATTTATCTTTTTTTGTGAGAATATTTAAGTTCCACTCTCTTAGCAAACTTCAATTCTACAATGCAGTATTATCAACTATCAGCACCATTTTATACATTAGATCCTGAGAACTTGATCATCTTACAGCTGAAAGTTTGTACCCTTTTACCAATCTCTTCCAATCTTAGTGCTTCCCAGCCCCTGGATACTACCTTTCTACTCATTGTTTCTGTGAGTTCATTTCCTTTTAAAAAATTACTCATGTAAATGATATTATGAGGTATTTGCCTTTCTCTGTTCTGTTTATTTCACTTTGCACAATGCCCTCCAGTTTCATTCATGTATTTGCAAGATAGGATTTCCTTCTTTTTAAAGGCTGGGTAATATTCCATTATATAAATATATAACATTTACCTTAATAACTTTGAAAACTGAAGTAATTCAGCATGTGCCATTATGTAATTCTTTGGGGACTTGATTTTCCATTTGTCTATGAACTACACAACCATTTTTTTTCTTTTTAAAAATTATTACGTATTATAGTTGTCCCAATTTTTTTCCCCCTTGGTCCTCCTCTGCCCTGCCCCTCCCCTGCTCCCACATCCTTGTCCATGTCCATGGTCATTTGTACCTGTTCTTGGACTAGAACTTTCCCCTTCTTTCCACTATTATCCCCCACCTCTTCTGGCCACTGTCAGTCTGTCCCATGTTTCCATGTCTCTGGTTCTGTTATGCCTGTTAGTTTATTTTGTTCATTAGATTCCTCTTATAAGTGAGATCATATGGTATGTGTCTTTCACCAACTGGCTTATTTCACTTAGCATAATATTCTCCACTTCTATCTTCCCTAAGGAAAACCATTTTTTTATGTTTTAAAAGTTGATTTATGACACACATAATAAAAGTGTACAACTTATGAAAGTTTATATACTCAAAAAGTGAATATACTCATGTAACCTGAATGCAGTCAAGAAACAGAATATTACCAACATACTAGTTCAACTCTTAATGTCAGTAGTTTTCTTGTTTTTACATCTATAAATAATGGAACCATAATTTGTGTTTGTGGGATTCATTCATGTTATTGTGTGTATTCATAGTTTTTTTATTTACAAATCTTTATAGTATTCCACTGGACACATATAGAACAATTTATTGGTCCATTCTATAGTTGATGGACATGGAGATCTTTTCCACATTTAGACCTTACAAAAATGCCACTAAAAGCTTTCTTATATATGTATTTTGGTGAATATATTGTACATTTCTGTTTATTATATTCTTTGACAAAGTAGTTTTCCAAAGGGGTTGTAAAAATTACAGTTTTCATCAGCTCTGTAGAGAGAGTGTATACTAGTTATTCTACTTGCTTGTCAACACTTGATATTGTCTTTTTTTATTATAGCTGTTCTGGTGTACACCAACGATTTTTTTGAGAAAAGTTTCATCCTAGACACTGGCATGCCCTTAGTAAACCTCTCTGCTGGAATTGAGATGTCTTTTCAGTTTCTTTCCTTTCATGAGAGCATTGCTCCAACATAACTGATTGTTGAAGCATAAGTTTCCCTATTTAGCAAGGAATTCAGACTATCTGCATTTCAGATAAATGCTGCTTAGTACTTGTCAATATGTTTAAGTGAAAGAGTAGGTATGAGCAGCTTCAGTAAATATTTTGAACGCAAGTGCAAAAAAACCCTATTTAAACAAGTTTAAAGTGAAAACCGTAATTAATTGGCTCTTGTAGCTGACAAAACAGACTTGGCCGGCTCCAGGGGTTAAGCTTCGTTTTTTCTGTCAAGACGCTGTTAGTCCACTGAGCAGCTTTTTTTCTTAGGCAACCTTTGTCTTTCTTTCCCTGAAATACAAGACATTTTCTAGTAGCTCCAAACTCTCAGAAGTTAGACAGAATAAAACCAAAACAACAAAGTAACACATTTCTTCCTGTATTTTTAGAGCTCTCCAAGTCCTAGAATTCAGTCTTCTTGGCCCTGACTGCCTTCCGTGGCTCAGGGTTGGTACCAGGTCCCTCTGAACCATATACTCTTGGAGGAGCAATAATTCTTCAAGAAATATCGGGGTGTCATTACCAGGAGAGAGGAGGAAAATGGTTAGTGGAAAACAAAAGCAACAGGATATCTACTACAAGTCGGGAGACTTAAAAAACAGCAAGCAGTCAATTCTTCTAGATGCTATAGGATGTATGCTTGGATTAAGCAAAACTGCTGGAAAATTGTACACATTGACTCCATCATTTTAGGCCCTGTGGTGCTGCTTTTATTGAAATGTTCTAGGACATTCTGTTATCAGCACTGAGAGAGAGAGAGTGTAATGAATGGCCCTGCAGAATTTATTATGTCTTTGTAAAATACTATGGAGCACACTGTTTAGTCTATTTTACTGTCTATGTTATAGGATTTCATGGGGGAAAATTCTTCCTGTTGTTTGTATCAAGAAGACTTGAACTGTTTTCTCTCCTTCCTTCCTTCCTTCCTTCCTTCCTTCCTTTCCTTCCTTCCTTCCTTCCTTCCTTCCTTCCTTCCTTCCTTCCTTCCTTCCTTCCTTCCTTCCTTCCTTCCCTCTTTCTCTCTTTCTGCTTTCTTTCCCCCTCCTCTCCCCTCCCTTCTCCTCCTCTTCCCTCCCCTCCTCTCCCCTTCCCATCCCTTCCCTTCCCTTTCCTTTCCTCCCTCCTTCCAGAATTAAATGACAAAGTTTTATTTAAGGGTCTTAAGATAGTGTTCTGAAGAAAAAAGTTGAGAGTTTTTACTAGTAAAAAGTACATTCTTGAGAAAAATCAGTCCTGCATTCTTAACTTCTGTACTGGTCTGAGATGGTGACCTTGCAGATGTCAGGCAGCCTGGATACTTGAACATTCATTCCTAAGTTCTTAAGAGACTTATCTAGAAAGAGTGTGTGTATATTTATATGTATGTACATATATAATATATACATATATCTATGTACATATAGATATACATATGTATTTACAGTACATATATACTGACGTACAAACTGAAAGTTTCAAAAGTTTAAGTCCTTGAGCTCGTTAAAGTGAAATAAAGTCTATTTCTTATGTTTCAGCCCATTCTGATTAAAGTAATTTTGTTAGCTTGGCTATGATCATTCCATTTTGTTCCTTCACTCTTTCCTTATCCCCCTTCCACATTATTTTTATTGATTATGTTATTTCAGTTGTCTTAATTTTTCCCTCTTTGTCCTCCTCCATCCAACATTCCCCCACTCCTTCCGGCTATCTCTTCTCCTTTGTTCATGTCCATGGGTCATGCGTATAAGTTCTCTGGCTTCTCCGTTTCCTATACTTGCTCTTAACATCCCCCTACCTATTCTGTACCTACCAATGTGTACTTCTTAATCCCTTCACATTTTCTTCCATTCTCTCACGCCCCCCTCCCCACTGGGCACCATCCCAATGATCTCCATATCTGTGATTTTGTTTCTGTTCTGTTGGGTTTTTAGATTCAATTATTGATAGTTTTGTATTTATTGGCATTTTAATATTCATAGTTTTGATCTTCTTTTTCTTAAATAAGTCCCTTTAATATTTCATATAAGAAGGGCTTGGTGATGATGAACTCCTTTAGCTTTATCTTGTCTGGGAAACACTTTATCTGTCTTTCCATTCTAAACAATAGCTTTTCTGGACAGAGTATCTATTTTGTAGGGCCTTGCTTTTCATCACTTTGAATACTTCTTGCCAGTTCCTTCTTGCCTGCAAAGTTTCTTTTGAGAAATCAGCTGACATTCTTATGTGAACCCCTTTGTAGGTTATTATCTGCTTTTCTCTTGCTTCTTTCAAAATTCTCTCTTTAAAAGTTTTATTTTCTTAAGATTTAATCTTTATTTTTTTTCATTACCATTCAGTTCCCTTGCCTTTAACCATTGGCATTTTAATTATAATGTGTCTTGGTGTGGTCAAGAAGAATTGAACTTTTCCTAAATACCTTTTGGGATTTTTATCTTATAAACACTGTGCTTTCTGAAACTGATGTTTCTGCTTTGCATTGATAGAGTGATAAAATCAATATTATAACTTGTTTTACTCAAATGTACTATACCTCAATGCATAGTTTTTTAGTGCTAATGTTCCTCTTTTATTTTTATCTTGCATTTCATTTAAATTATGATGTCATAACTTTTTTCTATTCTGCTATATGTCCTTTGTAAATTTCATGAAGACTTTGCTGAAGCAAATAAATAGAATTACTTCAATTCTACAGAAATTTATTTTCTGAGAAATAAATAGAATTTGTGAAAATTATATTCCATGTATTGAAACTATCACCACAAAGTAAGCAAATCTTCTTGGCTTTGGCAAGAAGTTTATTAACAGGACTTATGTTGGGCTCCAGTTTTAGACGGAAGCACTGTGAAGCACTACAGAATCAGAAGACTGGACGAAGGGGGCTTTTTCCTCATTCGGAGAAGAACCTTTTCAACACTGAATGAGTTTGTGAGCCACTACACCAAGGCAAGCGATGGCCTGTGTGTCAAGCTGGAAAAACCATGCCTAAAGGTGAAATACTTTCAAGCTGTGTTCATTTATTTTTGAAGTTAACGTTTTCCTTTCAGATACTGGATATTTTTTATGTGATATGTCAGTTCAGGAAAAAAAAGTCATTTGATTACCTAAGGCAGGGATAGGCAGACTGTGGTCCATGTGCCAATACTGTCCCACACTTACTGTAAGTTTTATTGGAACATAGGCTCATTTATTTACAAGTTGTCTTTGCTTTTTTACTATAATAGCAGAGTTTAGTAGTTGCAGTAGAGGCTGTATGGCCCACAAAGCCTAAAATACTTACTATCTCATTCTTTTCAGAAAAAGTTTGCTAACCCTTAAGGTAAGACAGTCACTGAAGGCAGAAAATATTCATCCTTTGCACTAAAAAATTAATATGGTATCCTGCCATTGGAGCACTTAATGATATGGAGGGAGGAAAAACATGCCAGAATATAATTCTTACTTAGAGCTGTACTCAAGAATATTAATATGAAATTATTTGATTAATTATCTGGTTGAGTTGTCTGCATATAGACATCATTTAACTAACTGTTCTAATAGTCTCATCTTTTGACCTGGCCTGTTTGGTGGGAGAAGACAACATTTTTAGACTGTATCCACATCCATCATTATCTAGCTGTTTGCTTGTTTTACCTAAATGTATTTAAAGTTACATACTGGTCACATACGATAGTGGAGTAAGCCCTCAGATCCTCCTGAGTCCAGGTCTCACATACAGTAGCAGGACAGCCAGCACTGTGGTTTGCACTCGGGGGACTGATGGAAGCTTCATGGTGACACCTGATCAGAATTTTATAAACAAGTAGAAGCTGAGGAATTTTACCCAGTACGTATAGAATATATTGAGTTAAATTCTGCCAAGTTAATAGGCAATTTTGTTATAAGAATGTACATGTTAGTACAGAAATGACCCCACAAGAGTATCTAAGCTCATGTTAAGACATAGCTTAAAAAGATATAGCTTATCTTTTATCTTTTTTTATACAAAGCTCATATACTAAGCCTACATACTACTCAGTTTAACCAACATTGTTAAATTCAGTGGGGAAAAAGGTTTATAAAGAAGCACAGGCAACCTTCTCTGCTGTAGAGGCTGATGACTTGGTGGAGGAGACAAGATACTGTATTTTTAGGACTATAAGATGCACCTAGGTTTTAGAGGAGGAAAATAGGAAAAAAAATTTGAAGTAAAAAATGTGGTAAAATATTTAATATCCTGTTACCTTACTCCACCACTACCTCCCCCCCGGTGCCACAGTGAGCCAGGTAAGCTATATTCAGACTATAAGTCACACCCCTCTTTTCCTTCTAAACTGGGGGGGGGGAGTGCATCTTATAGTCCAAAAAATAAGGTACATTTCAATGGTAGATGGTAAATTAGACTATGAACTCTAGGAGAGCAGTGGCCTTGCCTTTTTGGTAACAGAATGGAACCTAGTTTGTGCTTGAAATGTTTATTTATTAAATGGACAAGTAAATGAATTAATGAACAAGTAAGTGAATTTCAAAAAAGAAAAAATTTAATTGTGCAAAAAATATGTGATGCATAAAGTAAATGTTATAAGCCAAAGACTTTGGGACGTGATTATGAATGAGGTGGAAATTTCAATTTGGCCTTAAAATTGGGAGGATTTAGCTAGGCAAAGAGGCAGAGAGAAGTCATGCCAGACCTGTATGAGGGAGGGACTGAGTGTGGAGTAGGACAGATGGACAGCAGGTGCCTGAGTTAGCAGCACATGGGGGGAGAGCAACTTGACAAAGTAATTATACAGATTCTGCTGTAACTGCTTTTCATTTTTAAGTAATTACAACTAAAATTTACAATATTTTGTTTTTAGAAATGATGTCTTTTTAGAAAAGTATATAGACTACTATTTCCACTCAAAAATTGTTAAATCTTATTTCTTACAAGTATTCTTATTGTTCTGTGACACAGATACAAGTCCCAAGCCCTTTTGACTTGTCATATAAGACCGTGGACCAGTGGGAGATAGACCGCAACTCTGTGCAGCTTCTGAAGCGATTAGGATCCGGCCAGTTTGGCGAAGTGTGGGAAGGTCTATGGAACAACACTACCCCAGTAGCAGTGAAAACATTAAAACCAGGTACCAAAATGAGAGCGTCAAAGGTTAATGGTATATGTTGATTTTTCTAATTTCAACTTTTTGCTGTGTGTGTCCAAGAGGTAACAGGACAGCCAATTCAGGCACCAAACAAGTGTTGCAATCGCTCCCTTGCCTGGGCTTTACAGCCTAAGGCCAAGGCTGTAGCCTGCAAGGGCAAGAGCATGCTCCCAGGATAAAGTAGGTCTTAACACATCCCCAGTGTAAGATTTGAATATGGCATCTCTTCTCTAGGGTTAGGATCCAAACCTCTAGTGTCCTTCTTCCCCCTTTCCCCCTAGATTTCATTAAAAAAATACTCACTTATTGAAAATGTTTCTAAAAAAATCAGTGGAATCCTGGAGTTAATTCAGGGAATGCCTATTTTATTGCAAACTAATTGTGTATGGTCAAAGGCAAAGTGGTCCATCTAAAAGACCTCCTGTTTGAAAATGTAAGAACTGTCTTTTCTCCCATCTTCCTTCTTCCTATAGTAAAAATTAAACATATACTAAAATCAGTAGTTATTCAACCAGACATTATTTCCTCCATTTTAAAGGTGAGATAGGAAATTTAGAGAGATTAAGTAACTTTCTTAAGATTTACCAGTCATATAATCTTGAGTAAATTTTAAACTACTGTATATCTCAGTTTTATCATTTGCAAAATAGAGTTAATAGAGGTTAGACCAACCTAGCAGGGTTGTTATGAAGATTAAATTAGGTCATTAGTGGAAATGTTTTACACAGTGTCTAAATCATAGTACATGGCCAATCAAAACTCTTATGATAATAATAATAATTATAATTATTATTATTATTACAGAATCAGTAAAAGGCAGAGCTAGAATTTGAACTCACATCTACTATTATTGCATCACACCCCAAGGAAACCACATTCCATGAAAGTGCAATGTTACTGTAGTATCTCCATATCTACTTCTAAAAGCATAGGCAAGAATGATAACCAGAAGGTAGCATAGAATTCTCTGGGGACCTGCAAGATTCACCTAATCCAGAATTATTAGAAGTTTAGAAAGCTACCAGACAATAGTTCTTGAGCACCTGGTGCTACAGGCCAGCAGTCTAGTATACACCATGGTTCCCAAACTGTGTTCTAGGGCACACTGGAACAGCACATCGAATTCACAGAGTATCACAGGATATATAAAGCTTTGAAGTAAGCACCTCAAATACTGCACAAACTGCTACATTGTAAAGTAATTTGTAGCTTTAGCATTAGATCATGTTATAGTCCTTTTGCCAACATCATATCTTTGTGAACCAGGTTGTTGGTGGTTGCTATGATCAAATGCAAGGTCCACACAGAAATCATTGTGGACCAGGAAATGTAGGTAGCAGTGTTCTCTCTGCTTCCAAGACCTGAGAAATTGTGTAGCCCCAGCACATACAATATCCCTTTAGTAATTAATTGTAGTTAAGAATAAAATTTTAAAAATTATTTTTGTAGGGACACAAATACTTCTTAAATTGTTTGAATTTAATCAAATAATCAATAGCACTCACTGTTAGACATTCCTCTTGGCTAAGGGGCATCTTGAAAAAAGTTACTGAGACAGTGAGTGTGTCATGAACTGAGTAATTTCGGGACCCTCTGGTATAGTAGTGAAAAGCATAAAGTTTGGTGCAGGATAAACCAGGGTCCTAACATGACTCAGCCCTCTGTGACTTTGGACAGTTTATGAACCTTTTTGAATCTCCTCATCTGAGAGTGGAAATTATATTAGTTCCTACTTTATAGGATTTTATTAGGACAAATTGAGTAAATTTATATCAAATACGTGCAGTGAGTTCTTAATCAATGCTAGCTTCAATAGGCTGCTGACAGATGTCTGCTGATGTCCACATTCGCTAGTACAGGAGTCCAGTCTCAGCACTTACATCTGCCACATGAAACAATGGAGAAGCACTTTTAAGTGGCTAGATGCCATGTGAGTACCCCAGGTGAGGACAATTTGTTCCAGCGCCTGAGATTTCTGCAGTCAGTGTGTGTTTATGTGTTTGATTCCTAATCTTGTTGACAACTGACACTAAACTTTAATGTCCAATCTAATTCTTCTCCAAAAGAGAAGCAGCTAGCTATCCATCCTAACATTGCTCTCCAAGGACAGCCTTCTGGAGGTCAAAAAAGAACAAAAAAAATCAGATTTCTTATATTAAAAATGTGCCATAATAGCTTTCTCTCCAACAGGAATAATTATTATTGATTTACTGTATAATAGCAGCAAACAGCTTTAGTGATTGGTTAAATGTCTTCACTTCAGCGGGGCCATTAATCAATCTTAGCAGCTATTTATTGCTTAGCAGACTACCATACAATAAAGACGAGCCTGAAATCAACTCCCACAGTAGCTTTGACAGGCAGAAATTAATATTTAATGTTGCATTACAAGCAGAGTTGAGATTTGGTCTCTTTTGCTGTGCAGCTTGGTCAGCTATAACCAGTGTAGCCAGCCTTCACCTGCAGAAGTTCCCAGCATATTGTGGTTTCAACTACTGTGAACAGTCTGATTTGGAAATGATTTCAATGTCCTTCATTCCATGAATCTGATACCCCCCTGAAGCATTGACATAGAAACATATTGCATATATGTATAAATTGTCCAAGCGGTGAGCATAATTTCTGGTATCACTGGAAGCTTCATGAATCAGATTATTTTTGGGGGGTGAGGAGGATCCCACTATGTTCATATTTGACCATAGGCCAAACTAGTTGTAACAACTAAAAATAAAGTCCTTTGTTATGGTTCGAGTGCCTCTTTTATATTCAGCTCCATTTTGCCACTATGATTTAGGATTTGAGTACCATTTGATTATACAGAGCAAACCAATGATGGGGATGAAATTGAGGAAGCTCAGCAAAATGTGATGGAAAAAAGAATAGGCCATTTCTCCTTATCTTCCTTTTTTAAATCCTTGTCCTTTCCCCTCCTCAGGCTGTGAAAAAATATATGCTGTCAATTAGTTTGGTTTAGCCCAGATATGCATATTAATAATATTACTAATATGGTCAAGTCATTGCTATTATCCTGATAATCATTTTATGATGCCAGTGAGACCATTAGCCATGTTTTAGAGATGGAGAAACTGAAGTTCAGAGATGTTTGATAACTTGCAAAAAATCACACAGCAAATCAGGATTTGTTCAGAATATGGAGTTTTATTGAGCCTGGGTTCTGAAATTCTAGACTCTCAAAGGGCCTGTTAAAGGATAGATTGCGCCCAAATTGTGTATGTGCAATGATCTGTAGGTCACGTGTAACTCTTCCTAATGTCACATTAGTAAACAAGCCAGAGCGTTACCTTAGAGTGTCAAAGCTTACCCTCAAGCCTGGGTTGAAATATCTGTTGTGAAGTCTTCAACACAAGAGGATGAGGAATGGAACAGTCTTTCTGAGCATCAGTGGAAATATTTGCACTATCCATCATGAATACAGAAACGTAAAATTATAGTATTTCTTCAATCACGGTAATACCTCTGAAATATCATATCCCACAAGAAATTAAAAATTTAAAAATTACTGATGAAATGTAAACTCCAGATACCCTTCCACCTCCCAGATTTTATTTGATGTTAATTACTCGGCACTTTGCATGGTGAGTCAGAGTTAAGGCATTTAAATGCAATTTAATTGTATCATAGATGAGTCTTTAGAGTAGGTCCCAATACTGTCTCCCTTATTGTTTGATGAAATTATTAGGACCCTGACTGTGGAAATATTAATACAGGAGAAAATTTTGAATATTGCTTTCAAGTTAAACATAAAACACTGGTGGAAAAACACCAAGTTTGGGGGTGGTCATTGAACGTTTTCTACTTGGTCTGTACTGTATGTCCCTACAGTACTGAAAACATAAATATGGCTGAATGTCATTGCTTGGGATTGTCATACAGCTGTTCCCACAGTGGGTACCAAGGACAGGGCAACCATCAGTCTTCCCTGCATCCTGACCCAAAAGCTCTGGATGCAGTAATTAAACATTCAGGGTCCTCCAGCATTCAAGTTAATAGTGTTTTCTTTTTGTGTTCTTAAGATGCCTGCCTTGTTTATCAATTAGACTATCAGTCTCTTCTTTTTTGTTTGTTTTTCATATGGACCTGAACTGACCTTTCTTCACCTACAGGTCATAACACATAAATTGCACACCCCGATGCACCAACACATCAATTATTAGGTTGCCCTGGATGAACTGATTCTCTTCTTTGATAAATCTGAAGATTTGTGGCACCAATGTTCTTACTTTACTGAGACGCAGGAAACAATCTGAGTGATTCCTACCTGGCTGCTCTAAGGATAGGAATGCCTCAACAGCATAAAGTGATTTCCTCCTCTTCTTGTTTCAGGTTCAATGGATCGAAATGACTTCCTGAGGGAGGCGCAGATAATGAAGAACCTAAGACATCCAAAGCTTATCCAGCTTTATGCTGTTTGCACTTTAGAAGATCCAATTTATATTATTACAGAGTTGATGAGACATGGAAGTCTGCAAGAATATCTTCAAAGTAAGCTAAAGACTTAATAAAAGGGAGAAAAAGAGTAATTTAGTTTTAGCATGTCCTATAAATGTCAATTTAGAAAGCTTTGTATAACCTAAAGGATATTTACTATGTGTATATCTGTGAGAATGAATGTCTTCACGTTGAATTGCTCAACTACTCTTTAATAGGATATATACTGTGTACTCAAAGGAAGGAAAAATATTTATGTAGTGGAAGAACAAATTGTTCACCACAGACACACTGAAGTACTTAAATGTAATGTAGAAAATTGAAGAATAGTTGTTTTGCATGATGCTGTGTTTCCTATAATAACTAATTGGACATCATGTGGCCTGGACCAACATTTTATATGGCCTGGAATTAGGAGACATAAAATGCTTTTAGAAAAAGAGGGGGAGAGGTACCCTCATTTTTTCTTTGCCAGTATTTGACTACATTGTACTTGTTCATGTTCAAAATACTTCCAATATTAAGCAACATTAGAATTTTTGGACTAAACAGCAGAAATCTACTATTGCTTTATTTCTACATCTGCTTCCTGTAGTCAGAGAAGACTTAAGGACATTGTAAAATTTGCATGCTTCTTAACAAATAATTTCATAAGCAACAATATGATAAGCCTTAAAATGAGATGTTTAAAGTTGTTGATATCAAGTGCTGAGAGAATACAGTTGACTCTTGAACAACGTAGGGTTACTGGTGTTGATCCCCTCTGTAGCTGAAAGTTTGTGTATAACTTTTGACCCCACCAAAAAAACTTAACTACTGCAGTTGTCATTCAGTATTCATAGGAGATTGTTTCTGGGGCTCCCCACAAATACCAAAATCCTCAGTTGCTCAAAGGCCCCCAGGTGAAATGGTGCAGGTCAATGGATCTGGTCGTTCCTCTGCGTCTGTTGACTTCCACCTGTGGGTCAAATACAGCACAGGTATTTACTGAAAAAAAATCCCGTGAACCTGTGCAGTTCGAACTTAGGTTAAGAGTTGACTGTAATTCATGTTTAAAAAAGGGATTTTTCTCTACTTTTTTAGATGTCAGAGTGGGATTGGTATAATATAGAGAGAAGTAAAAGGAGATGAGAGAAAAGGATACAAGTATTCTCTTATTTCAGGGTGACTTGTGAAACTGGTAATATTAAATTGCAAAAGTAGATTAGAAGAACTAAGAACATAAGGCCTCTTAAATGTTGTTAAAAACAAAAATACACCTAGTTCCCTTGCATACAGCTATAAATTTTAACAGCATCAGAATATGTTAAGTTCTATAGAAAGAGCAGCCTCAATCATTCACCCCTTTGTCCTTATTCCCAGGGATAAAAGTACAGGAGCTGTCTTGGGTCATCGCTAACAAAAAAGCTTTGTCAAGGTCACTTATAACATTCACAGCGTTAAATCTAATAGTCAGTTTTTAATCCTCTGACCAATCAGCAGTATTTTATTCAATGGACAGTTTCTCCTTCTGGAAACACTTCTTTCATTTGGCGTCCAGGACACTTTGCTCAATGACCTTTCCCCCTGCTTCTTGCTGGTTCTTCTCAATTTATGTAATTTCTCTCATGTCCCAAATATCTTGGAATTTTCCAGGACTATTTTTCAATTCAGTAATTCCCTTGATAATATCAATCAATTGCATTGTTTAGTAACATTTATGGATTAACAATCCTCCAATTTATATCCCTCCATTACTTTAGAATCCTATATCCAATTGCTTTCTTAACTTCTCTTCTTAAATGTTGTGTCAGCCTGGGTAATGTGGGTGTGATGCAGTAGGAAACAGCCTCTGAGTCTCAGAGACTTAAAACAACAAGTGTTTATTTTGCTCATGATACATGGATTGACAGGTGCCTCCTCTCTTTTCATTGCCTTGGCAGGAGCAGGGGTTGTGACTAATCTTTTTCTTGGCTTCTGACTTTGAGTGACAGAGGTGACTTTTGTGTTCTTTTTGTTTGGCCTAATCAAGTGAAAGGGAGTGTCATTCTCTAAAGTGCTTAAAAGGAGATAAAAATAAATGTATCTGAACAGCTCTACTACCTATGTCTATTAGGCATTTTAAAACATGTCCCAAACTGATCTTCTAGCATTATCCCCAGAAATCTACTCATGTTAGAGCCATTTCCACTTCTTCTCACATCCCATGTCTAACTAACCAGAAAATTCTATTGTCTTGCTTTCCAAATTTATCTAGAATATTACTGCTTTTCAACTCTGGTACAAGCTATCATCAACTCTCTCCTGGATTCTGCAATAGCATCCTGATTGATCTCCCTTTTTATGATCTTATTCCCTTCACTCTTTGCTCAATATAGTAGCCAGAGAGATCCTGTTAAAATGTAAATCAGATCATGTCCCTCCTCAGCTCAAAACCTTCAGTGACTCCCATCAGTTCTTCTCTCCATAAAACCCATGAAGTCCTCTGTGACCTGGCTCCCTACTCCCTTCCTGACTGCATCTCCCACAGCTTCGTCCTTGTTCACTCCATCAGTGACACCACCCTCCTCTGCTACTCTTCATATCTTCCAGATGTGCTTTCCTTTAAGCATGTCACCTTTGCTGTTTTTTAAATCTGAAATGGTTTCCCATTACTTATCCACGTAGTGCAGTTTTTAACTTCCTGAAAGTCTTCCTGAAATATCCTCGGACATTCCCCTTGTATTGAGTCCTTCACTGATCACACTCTAAACTCTATTTAAAATTTAATCTCTCTCTGTCAACTTTTTAGATTCCTCTTTCCTAGTTTTTTTTTTCTTTTAGCTCTTAATTATCTTACATTGCATGACATTCATGTAGCTTATCTTTAGTATTTTCAAAGTACAATTCCATGAGGGCAGAGCTTTTCCTTTTTCTTTTTTTGTGTGCTAGAAGAGTATCTGGCACACAGACGGTATGTGCTAATTATGTATTGAAAGGTTGAATGAATAAATTAATGGACAGATTAAGTTGGAGCTGATCTGAACCAAATAAGATTAATTTGGGGCCAATCTTGTCTTAAGCCTCTTGTTATCAGCTAAAAAAGATCCACTTATTACCCTGCAAACTCCTTTGGCACTGAGAATTTCTGTGGCTTGTTGTCATGTTTTCTTTGGGGCTAAGCATGAACCCTGTCATCTGGGTTGGGACATGAGGGTCAAGTTTACCAAGGCTGTCATTTGCCAGGATACTTAGCAGCATGAGGACTGGTGAAGATATGCTCATTATGGACAATCCTTTCTCAATCAAGAGGGTTTAAATTCGATAAAGTGGTCTTTAATGAATTTACCATTTATAAGTGGTCTATCATGGTAAATATTAATCTGAGAGACTCTTGAGTAATGGAACATAATTGAAAATATTTTCTTGCTGCAGATTGTCACAGGTCTGTGAACTTTTATGTCTGTTTTGACATCTGGCCATTTTATTTGAAGTGTGCTCTGAGGTTGAGTTAGACTGTTCCTAGGCTGCTGTACTCTTTCAGGGTAGGAAACTTGTTATTACTCAATTTCCTTCTCTGCCGTGACTGTCAGTGAAAACCTTTTTATATCCCTGTAATAGCATTAGATGTTGTATTTGATAGCTGAAATACATATTTTTCTATAGAACCATGTTTATCATCCCTAAGCTTGGCTGAATATTTTTTTGCAATAAATTTTTCCAAAATGGGAGATGCTTGTCAAAAAACTTTATCATTGAGGATAATTGATGCAGGTGTTACAGAAATTTTAAAATGGATAAACATCTGCATTTTTTCCAGTTTAGCTGGGCTTGTTCTCTTTCCAATAAATACTTATAATCTGACATATGTTAGGATGTTTTATTTTTAAAAAATATAAATCAAATCCTAGCATGTTGCTCATCATTCTCATTGGCAGTTTACTTAAGTGGACTGAAGGAGAGGAATGGTCTCACTGAGACGCCCTTTTACTGAGTATAGCTGTATGACTTGCTGCTGTCTGCACGAGTGGAAGTTTCTCTGCAGGCCCTCACTTCAGGGTGCTCAAGAGTGATGTGTAAGGTGTTTTAGGGAGGCAGTATAGAATAGTTCTTGAAAGCCTGTGATTTCAGCTTTAAACATGCCTGGATTTGAATCTCTACAACACATTATCTGTTCCTCTGGTATAGCAGGAACCCCCATGAAATGGGGCAAATAATAATAGTACTTACTTCATATAGTTTTTCTGAGTATTAAATGAGATGATTTCCTGGAAATCAACCATATGGATAGTGGTGAGAAAGAAGCATACACATTTAATTATTCTTTAGAAAATACTATATAGCATTTATGATCTACCAGGCATTTTTGTAAGTCCTGAACAATGTTAATTTAGTTTGTCCTTCTAACAACCTCATGAAGTAAATATTATTGCCTCCATTTTATGGCTGAAGCAACTGAGGGATGGAGAGGTAAAGAAACTTATTCCAGGTGGTTGAATCAGGATTCAAACTTAGGAAATTTGGCTTCATAGTCCATGCTTTTAACCATATGCATAGCACCGATGCTATTTTCTTTTTCTTTTCTTTTCTTTTTTTCTTTTCTTTTCTTTTCTTTTCTTTTCTTTTCTTTTCTTTTCTTTTCTTTTCTTTTCTTTTCTTTTCTTCTTTTCTCCTTCTTCTCCTTCTCTTCTCCTTTTTTTGATTCCCAGGTATTTTATCAGGGGCCATTGTAAATAGCATTGCTTTCTTTTTTAATTTTTAATTTTTTTTGTTGTTTAATTACAGTTGTCCCCATTTTTCTCCCATTGCTCTCCCCTACCCTGCCCACCCCCTCTCCCACATTCAATCCTCCTCTTCTCTGTTGTCTTTGTCCATGGTATATTCTAACATCAACTCATATTTGTTATCTATTGCTGCACAACAAATCACCCCAAGACTTAGTAGCTTAAAACAGCAAACATTTATCTCACAGTTTCTATGTCAAGAATCCAGGTGTAGCTGAGCTGGGCCTTCTAGCTCAGGGTTTCTCGCAAACTGCACTCAAGGAGTCCGCAGGTGCTCCAGTGCGCTGGAGGCTCCAGAGGAAGCTGATTTACCTTCAAGCTTACTCATGAGATTGTTGGCAGGAGCTGGTTTCTCTGGGCTGTTAGACTGAGGAAGTCAGTTGCTTGCTGGTTGTTGGCTGGCAGCTGCTTTAAGTTCCATGTTACATGGATCTCTCATTAGGGCAACATAAAACATGGCCAGTTGGCTTTATCAGAGCGAGCAAGTTCTAGCAAGATGAAATCACATCTTTTATAGCTTATCTTGGAAGTGATAGCCATCACTTATGCCATATTCTGCTTGTTAAAAGTGAGTTACTAGGTTCAGACCACACTTAATGAAAGGGGATTTCATAATGGCAAAGATACCAGGAGGCAGAGAATATTGGGAACCATTTTAGAGACTGCCCACCACATAGCCCAGGATGAGGCACCAGTTTACCTTAAACATTTTTACATTTATTTTCTTGGAGCCATTTTGATAGCAAGAGGCATAGCTATTTTGGCCATTAGAGCAACAAAACTCTGCTATTATGCTGCATATTAAGTTACATTTTGTCATTTTTGCTTACATCTCATTTTATACTGAATAATTAATGTTAGCTGCTATAACACAGAATTCAAAAATCTCAGTGACATAACAAAAAATAGAAAGTTTTGATATGCATCAAGTTGCTATGCATCAACTACCTGTTCTTCAAATGGTGACGTGGAGATTTAGACTCCTTCTATCACGTGGCTCTGTCATTTAGAAATTCATCTCTTTTAACTACAAAGATATGTGGGATTTTAAGGATTAGTCCTATATGTGACCAGTATCTTCTCTGCAAACATTACAATTCTCAAAACTTGTACATGGCCCAATGTAACTGCAAGGGAAAACAGGGAATTAGTCTTCTGTGTTTGGGAAGAAAAAGTCCAAATACATCAGTGAGCAGTTAGTTAGTTGCAGCTCACATCTCATTTAAAAATGCTCCTTGCATCAAGAAAAAAAATATATATGTAAATGTACATACACACACACACATCCTGTTCTTAGGTCTTTACCATTTAAAAAATGTCTGTGACACTATTTATTTTATTGAAAAAGATAGCATCTGTGTAGAATGTGCACATACCATTTAGTAGAATTTGCCCCAAGTCAAGAATGAGAACACAGCCTGCACTCCAAACCCCTGTGAGTACTTTGTCAATGACAATCCCTCACTGTCATGAATTTAATGATACTCGCTTTCCTTGGTTTACGCTTTCCTCTACCAGGACCTTGTTGTCTTCCTTTCTTGACTAGGGTTTTGGAAATTGACCTCTCTTGCTGTCTCCATTCTCAGTTCCCACCCTGCCTTCAACCCCTTTTATTCCCTCTCTAGTGAAACAACTTTTCCTTCCACTGAAGTCACCAATGACTCCTTAGTTATTGTATTTAACAAATGATGTTTAGCCTTTATCTTGCTGGGCCTGTTTGTGGAATTTGACAGTGGTGGTGACTTTCTTTTTCTCACCCTAAATGTTGGCGTTTCTCATGATTCTGTTGCTGTCTAGCACTCTCATCCACTAATGTTTAACTCCTACTCAAAAACTGTGATTGTTAAATCATATCTCCAGCTGCATGTGCTCCCTAGAACTCCAGACTGATACGCTTTCTTTCTTCTAGGCATTCCCATTTGGGTAATCCATATGCATCTCTAGCTCAACAAATCCTAAGCTGCTTACTTCTGATTAGGCAGCACCAACAGTGATAATAACAACAGGTAGGGTTTACTGAGTTCTTTCTAGGTGCCAGGCACTGTTTTAAGTGCTTTACATGTATTAACTCATTTTAATTCTCACTTTAACAACAATACCATCAGGTAAGTACAGTTATCACTATATGGGTGAGGAAACTCTATGTGTAACTCATTCAGGGAAGAGCAAACTGCAGCCTTGGAGTGTGTTTGGACTCTGAAAATTGTTACCTTATTAATCCTTTACAGGAAATAAAAACTGTGTGAAGATATCTATCTATCTATCTATCTATCTATCTATCTATCTATAAAATCTCAACAGATCAGCACTATGATAATTAATCTCACTGCTAACTCATTCATCAAGATTCCCAGAACTTACTGCCATAGTTTAAACATTTCCCAAAGTAAATCTTTTATTTTTTCTTATTGTCTAGATGACGCCGGATCAAAAATCCATCTGACGGAACAGGTAGACATGGCGGCACAGGTGGCCTCTGGAATGGCCTATCTGGAGTCCCAGAACTACATCCACAGAGATCTGGCTGCCAGAAATGTCCTTGTCGGTGAACATAATATCTACAAAGTAGCAGATTTTGGACTTGCAAGAGTTTTTAAGGTGGATTTTCTTTTGTTTAAATTAGTTTTTGTAATGGGTAAAACCTCACAGACTAGTAAAGTAATAAATTTACTCCTATTCTTCAAAACAATGTTTCTCAAAGTTCTGTGGTCCATAGAACACTTCTGTAGGCCAAGGCCTTACAGACAAACTACCTGCTGTTTTTAAGGAGAAAGAAATTGGGAAAGTGATGATCGACAAGATGGCAGAGTATGTAATTAAGTTAGCAGTTGAATTGATAGTCTACTTAACAGTATCGGCAGCCTCTGTTTGTCTGCCTCTATTCTCCTTATTAAGAGCAGCACACCTGATACAGTTATCCAACCCACCTTTGTTCACTTTCTGCCAGACTAACATTCATGCTGCCAGAGTTTTTAAAAAATCATGTGCTTTTAAATTTCAGTGGCCCCTTTCCCACTTCATGACATTAGGCTAAAAGACATTGATTTAGGAAACACAATATTAGGTGTTTTTCTGTGAATTTGATTTTTCATTTATATAGCATACCCTAAACTTATGGGCATGGGGCATGAAACAATATACAGATGATTCTCTTTTGATCTTCATGAATTCATTACTTCTTTTTGTGAGTTAATTAGAACCCTAGTGAGTTTGTATATTAATTTAAATCTTTTGGATCCTACTTTTCAGTGTAAGAAAGTGGTTACATAGTAATTATCAAAGTCAATTGTTATTCAAAACCAGCAGTAAATCAGAAAACAGATGGGCTTTGCTTTCATTTTTTTATTTGCTAAAGACCAGATGTAGAGCCAGTATCATCAGCTATGAATTCTCCCCTATGAAGTAGAATGCTCCTTCCAATGCTACATTTAGCACACAGTAGGCTCTCGAGTAATATTTTATTAATAATTTCTTACAGATTTTTTAGCCTTGTATGGCAGCTTTGGAATTTAGTACTGTAGTTATCAATCAAACTATGCACATTTTGAATCTTTTCTCTATAAATTTTAATGTGTGCCAGGTTATAGATGATGAGGGTGGCATATATATATGTGTGTGTATATATACATAAGGTATATATATGTATATACATAAAGTATATATATATAATTTATACATATATAAGTGCACACACATATTTATATATAAGTGTATACTTACATACTTTATATACGTATATATATACATATAAGTATATACTTATATACTTTATATACATATACACACTTATATACACACTTATATACTTTAACTTGGCTTGATTTTTTAATGCATTAACAGGTAGATAATGAAGACATTTATGAATCTAAACAGGAAATAAAGCTGCCAGTGAAGTGGACTGCACCTGAAGCCATTCGTACTAATAAATTCAGCATTAAGTCCGATGTGTGGTCATTTGGAATCCTTCTTTATGAAATAATTACTTATGGCAAAATGCCTTATAGTGGTGAGTAATTAATTCTAAAGTGGGTCTTCCTGTAACAGGTCGCTTACTTAGGTGTGATTTTAACTACTTCATCCAGACTTAGTGGGCAGCATTATGAGGATGACCACACCATGTGCCTTTGGGAGCATAAGGGATAAAATTTGATGACAATGATTTGCATTAATGAGGTGGCTTATTGCCTCCTTCTCCTTTGCTCTTGAATTGCAATCTTATAGACATTACTTATTATAGGATTAATTTAATCTCTGTAGCCTGGGGAGGAGATGCTAGTAGACCTAGCTTCTCCAAGGAAATCAGTTTGCTTTGAATCTAGAATATAAGTTTCTATGAATTTAATAATCTTATCTTTAACTTTTTTGTTGATTTAATTCTATATTTGTAGGTATGACAGGTGCTCAGGTAATCCATATGTTGAGTCAAAACTATAGACTCCCTCAACCACCTGAATGCCCAGAGCAGCTCTACAAGATCATGATGATGTGCTGGAAAGCAGAGCCTAAGGAACGGCCGACATTTGAGACACTACATTGGATGCTTGAGGATTATTTTGAAATGGACTGTTTATATGCAAATAATTTCATAGGATGAACAGTGAAGAAGAGTATCAAATAATGAAGTAGCAATGAAGTTCAATAATTAGTCCAGAAATACAGCCTTATTAACCAACTGCAAAATGAGTTTATCTTGTCATATTCAAGTGATAGGGTCAATTTGACCATGTATTATAAAAAAAAATTACATGTATATTTCATTGAGCAAAACTGCAGGACAGTCTAAGATGTTCTATCATTTTCTCACTGCTTTATGAAATTGAACATACTAAACAAAGTTATTTTTCTTTTTAAAAGATTCTTATATTTCTATTTATTGTTTGAAATGTCAGTCAAGAGGATCAACCAATGATAGTTGATTCTTACTCAGTAATGTAGCATTTTTCTCTTTACTGATTAAAGTGGTTATTCATTATTTCTTGGATTACTGAACCCATCAGACTGCTATTATGAAGGAATTTTATTGCTTTGCTGCACAGCAGGACCTGTGCTTTAAGATGCTTTCTCTTTTCAAATATCCTGCAACTACAATGATGGCAAAGCCATGTTAAATGACTTGATTGTACTTGGAGTAATCACACAAGTTTTTTCCTATGCATAAAAAATGAAGCAGCTGTTGAGAAAAAGAATTAAAATTTCTCTCACTTTGTAGAAGGAAATGATGGAATTTTTCTATATACCTCAGTATGTGTCATCTGAGAATAATCTACATTAGTTTATTCTCTTAAGGTTAAGAATCAGATTGCAAAGCTGGTAAGTTATTATTCACGGAAACATGCAAGGAACATCTAGTGGTCTGCAAGATCTGAGAAGTAAGTATCCAAGTTGTTTAGGAAAATAAGAGGAGAGCAGTAGGATTGCTATGGCCCACAATTTCTCAATAATTAAAAAAAATGTACCTTTGGCACATAGGTCAGAGTTTAAAGTTGATTACAAAACAAATCGAGTTCTGTTTCAAGTCTTGAGACTAGGAATAATGCCTGGCCTTGGTTATGAAACTATTTTTGCCTAGTAGGACAAGACGGTCTTACTCATGTTAAATGTGCATTAGCCTTTGTGAGAATATTACTATCCTCTTAAGCAACTGGTGTATCAAATTTTTGCCTCATTAAATGGTTAGGGAGAGTTCTCAAAGGTAGTTACAAATTCAAATACATATTCAAAGATCTTCTGATGTAGAGCAATATGAATGAAACCAGCCCTGAGAAAACAAGTATATTCTGTCATCTGTTTTTAAAGGGGAAGAAGATGTGTGAACAATCACAGTAACCCCAACTCAAAATGGATTAAACAATAAGTAAATTTGTAAACTTTCTAACTGGAAGACAAGCAGTAGGGAGGGCTCTAGGCAGAATGCCATTAGCAGTTCGATGATGTCCAGTAAGACCCAAGTCCTTTCTGACCCTTCTCCCTGCCACCAGCATTCATTCTCATGGTCACTGGTGGCTGCCAGTAGCAGTTGGGGCTTCCTGTTCTCTTCTCCTTTGGTAAGAGAAAATGGGAAAATACTCTGCATTTTCATCTTGCATAAAAGTCATTCTTTTTCTGTCCAGACAAATTGGGGTCATATGCCCAGCCCTGGATCAGTAATAGACTCATTGTTAAATGTCAATTGGCTTAGAATAAGTTTTGCCACTGAAGTTGGAAATGTGATCATCTTTCCTGGAGACAAGTTGGGAGGTTTGTTGTACTAACATCTGAATAAAATTAGAGAAGATTAGATGCTAGAGAGGTGTTGATTAAAGAGAAAATCCCCTGAGATGAAGTAGCTGTACTACATATATACAGTGTGGCACTGAAACTAAAACGGGTCTTAAACGGGTCAGGTGGGGCTAACAATTGTAGAGCCCCTTGATTCCCTTATGAGCAGAAAATATTTGTAAAATAAGGTAAATACTGATCTTTTTAATCAGTTGACCATTTAAAGTCATTGAGTCTAATTGTGAAAATTCAAATACTACATAATTAGTCTTTTTGTAGCAGCTAAGAATAAGAATAATTATTTTTAGTAAGCACTGATTTTTGAAATGTATGAAGATGGTCCCTTCTTGTTTTAATACCACCTGAAACCCATTTAACTTTCTACATTTGATTCTTGGAGATGTTTATGTTAAAGGTCTGTCAAAGCAATCTATTATTCTTGTTTTCACCTGATTGATCATAGAGATAAAGAATGGATTCATTTATGAGAAGCATCAACAGATTTTTTTTAAACTGACATAAATTTCTTTTTCTGTATAGAATAAAAGGATCAGGAAGAGATAAGTTGAATTTTCCTACAACGAGGCAGCTCTTCTTAAATTTACCACCCATAAATTGTAGCAAAGCACTTTCTGTGTAATGTTTTATGTATGTAATGCAGTTATTTGGAGGTGGTGGTGAGGGATGTGAGGACGAGATTTCATATGGTATTTCAAATCTCTTTTGACAAAAACCTAAAAATTTTTGTAATAGAAAAAATTCAAAATTCCATTAAGCTTCTTTAAGAAGGTTATGAAGGAAATAGGTTTACCTTACCTAAGGTCAAAAGAGGCACAGAGTGGACTTCTAATAGTTGTGAAATCTGAATATTTTGTCACTAAAAACAAAGGTAAAGTTGAAGTGACTGGTAATCTGCAAACTGGGTGTGGCAATGGAGACACTGAAAAGACACCAAAAAACATGCCATGGGGAAGTATCAGGCTGGGTCTACTTACAGCATCTACTTACAGCATGTGTCTGCTTGGTGACTCCCTGGGATGACTGAACCATAAGAGGCCCTCTTTTCATTCTCTGATGGCCCAAAGGGGACCATTGCCCTTGGAAAGATGCCATTCTGCCACCCAGCTGGAGCTTCCTGGAAGCAGGGCCCAGGTGGCGATCCATGGCCTTGCCAAGCATATGTCCTCCCTGCAATGTTTTCTGTGGTCCAGTTGAACATACAGTTTCTAGACCAAAGAGCCTGGTGGGTAATATGCCTGTGGTGAATTTTAAGGGCTCTTTGAAAAGATACATTGTGTGAACCAGAATGGTGGTAATTTGGGCACTTATTTAAATTGTGCCATTGTGTTCTTCCATTCAGGGAAAGCCACTCTTAAAAGAGAAAGTAGTTGAGGTTTGTATACTTGCATATTGGAATTGCCTGTGAGTGCATCTGAAAATGTTGGGTTCATATATTTCTTAGCATTAATACAGAGAAGTCTTGGTCTATAACCTTCAACATGATTAAAAAAATCACTGTTGTAGGATAATAAAAAGATAGCTGGGAAGTTTGGTGTGGTGTACTCACAAATGTTTTAAGTCCATGACCCCAATAGTACTTTAATTTTCACAGTGTCATTCTTCCATTACCTATATTGCCCCATTAAATTTCTTCAGATTTTTCCCTCTTTATATTAAGCACGTGATAGTAAATCTCATACATTATTTAGTACATTTATAAGTAACCAGAGAATAAAAATAGTATGTAAACCTTGAGTTTCAGAGTCCTCAACAAGTTTAGCTACAACCTCTACTCCAATGGTCCTGTCTGCACAGGGGATTATATTATAAGGAGAGAGACATCAAGTATCTCCATTTACTCTTCTTGTCTGGGTTTATTCATTGATCATCTAAAGAAACAGAGGTCAGTGTAGCATCTTTTTATCCTTATGAAAAATAATCCACTCTTTCAGAAAAGAGTAGCAAACATCAAACATGCCTTAAATATCTAGTATTCGTATTGTTGTGCAGGGGGCTCAAGCCATAGAGCATAATGACCATGAAACCACATGTTAGAGAAAAAGGGTTAAAAGTTATCAAAATTGATTAGTTTGGAAGAAGCTAAACATTTTCTAGGAATAATTTCCTGAAATTTTAGAATAGAGGTTTTGATTGTACTATTTGTGAAAGATAAAGTAGCTTGTTATTAACCAAATTATATTTAGTTTTTAAGGTCCACACATTTTCAGGGTAAAAGATATCATAGTTTTTAATCATTTAAAAAAATCTACACTTAATTGTAAATTCAGAAAGTGACAAAGGAAATTAGCCAGATTAGTATACTTTGAGATATCACAGTGAGATTTTTGCCTCTAAAACATGTGTATTTCTATATTGTACCCTTTAATAATATTTATTGTATTATTCATACAATTATATAATTGCATGTGAATGTATATTATGTATGATTAACTGTATGTAATCATACATAATACATGGAGTGCATAGAGTGAGCATGAAGGACACGAGTCAGCTGGCCAGGCAAGCCGTGTCCCAGTCTCGGGGGTTGTTTTGCCTGGGTTTGTAATGTTATTCTTGATCCTAATGAGCAGACATTGGAAGCTTTTAAATTGGCAGCATGACCTAATTTGAATTTTTAGAATATTATGTACACTAATGTATGGAGAATGGATATGGGGAAACAGTTTAGAAGGACCAGTTGTCTGGGGGAGAGAGGATGGTGGGTCAGGTGAGTGGGTGGCAGAGGAAGAGAAAACAATAAACACATATGAGACTTTGGGAGGTGGGATGAACAGCACCTGCAAACTGTTTGGCTATGCGGACAAGGAATAATTAGGTATCAAGGATGACCTTGGGTGTCCTCTAAGTAAGAGAAATTAAATATGGAACAATGGGGAAAGAGTGGGTGAGGGGGAGCTAGTTAGCTGGTTTGTTGTTTTGAAACATCCAACTTGAAATGTTAATTAAGAAGTTGAATATTTGTAACTGGAGCTCAGAAATGAATTATGAAGCCAGCTGTAAATCAAGGAGGAGTTGGCATCAGGAAAACCATGCAAAGGAAGGAGACCACTGACCACTGAGGGAGGGGATAGAGAATGAGAAACTTTAAGGTGGGGCATTTAAAGTTGGGTGGAGAAGGAGCTAGTTTGGTTAGAGAAGTGGCTACAAATTTTCCATTAGCTGGAAGCAGCACAGCAGTCTTTAGGAAGTTTTCTTTCACTGGAGAAGTGGGAGCACAAGTGAAACTGAGGGGGACCAGGGCACAAGCGAAAGATGAGTGGGGACAGCATCTGTGGCCCTGGCAGGCTTTCCCACATGTGGTTGTGAATGTGAGAGGAGACAGACAGCGGCTAACAGTGAATGTGGGATTCAGAGGGGAGTCTGTGTTCTTAAAACTCAGACAGACTTAACCTTGTTTGAATGCTGTTAATATGGTTGTTGAAAGTTATTTCAGCAGGAGTAGAATACATAGTGTAGGAACATTTTGTGACTCAGAAAAATCTGTAAGAATAACTACTGTCTTCCTTATTTAATTTGTATGGATTTTATAATATAGATATTTAGTTATTAAACTAAATATTTTTGTTTTAGGGGAGCTAAAGTAAGTCCAGAAACTTATTTTGGACTGATACATCTCTTATTCCAGGATGATTTATTTTGTTTGTGGTTTACACTCTTACCTGTTTCCCCTAGACTGATCTAGTTTGCTAATATTCTGTGAGTAGATAGGTAGCTTTTTTTTAGAAATGTCAGTCTTATCTGAATTATATAAACAGGAATACAAAGAAAAAAATTCAAGTAATTCCAAGTAAAATATCTATTCATTTTCCTTGAATATGGATGTCAGGTCTAATTGCTCAAAATAAAGCAATATGGCTTATTGCAGATGAATGATGCAATCCATTTAAGAGCAAGTTAAAATAGTGTCAAGGAAGTAATAAGAAGCTGGCGTTTTAATATTTCAGGTGGAAGGCATTTGAATCACCCTGAAGAATAAAATTATAAGAAAAAAATGAAAAAGGAAAAAAGGAAAATAAAGGAGGGCAAATCTTTTTAAAGTAAACATTTCTTCAAAGTCCTAGGAGAAATGTTTCTTTATCTGGTTAATCAACTTATGCATAAGACAGAAACATTCTGTGCGGCTTTAAAATATTTTTACTTCAAACCTCAGGCTTTAAGACCTGGGTGAGATGGAAGTGATTTTGCAATAAACTCGTTCTTGGGCATTATCTTTGTTAATCTATTTTCATAGAGCCACGGAATTTTAGAGTTGGTAGAAACCTTAGAAATCATATAGTCTCAGGACTTCCTCCCTTTCTTTTGGAACAAAACTTGGAAGCAAAAATAATAAAAAACAAGGAATATTTAGTCATTTGAGAGATTTTGTCGCAAATAAAACTGCTTCATAGATACTAAATCTTTGCGGAATTATTTACAAATCTTCAAGGAAAGACTCAGCATAAATAAGATGGTATTGTGTTAATTGTCTTTTCCTTGTGTTTTAGTGAAACTCATGCAACTTAATTTAGAGGGCAGCAAAGATAAAATTCAAGGTTTGATTTTTGTGGCTGCATGTTAAAAGTATTTTGAAGCTTGTAAGATGTGCAATATTATGCAACTGGAAATGGGTGCCAACAGCAAGTCCAATAACCCCCCCTTGTCTGTGGGGCATGTGTTCCTAGACTCCCAGCAGCCACCTGAAAACTTGGACAGTACTGAGCCCTATATTTAGCTATGTTTTTTCCCATATATATATACACATATGATAAAGTTTAAATTTTAAAGTAGGTACAAGAGATTAACAATAACGAATAATAAAATGGAAGGTTGTGTGAATATAGTATTAGTAAGTCAAATAAGGATGACTTGAATACAAGCACTGTGATACAGTGACAGTTGATTTGATAACTCAGGAGGCCTACTGACTCTCCAGCTGGGATTTCATACAGTGTGGCTATGCTGAACAAAAGGATGATTCACAAACGGGGCACGGTGGGACAGGATGGCCCGGGATTTCATCACGCTACTCAGAATGGCATGCAATTGAAAACTTATGAATTATTTATAACTGGAGTTTTTCATTTAATAAATTAGGACCAAGGTTGGCTGTGGGTAACTAAAACAGTAGAAAATGAAACTGTGGATAATGGGGGCTACTGTGATAGCAAAAGTCAAAGCAATAAAATAAATTAATTTTATGAATTCTCAGGCTGACCAGAAGATGGGGGCCAGGTTGCTATCAAAGAGCTTATCATTAGAAGAAAAAAAGAAAGAAACTTAAAAATAATCTGAAATTCTCATATATTCATTTGTGTAAAAAAATACTAAAAGTTTCCTTTATCCTAACTACTTATGCTCAGACCTGCAATGAAGGCATTGTCTATAGATTATGATATAAATAGTCCAGTGTTAGAGATGTATAAACTCACATATTCACTTCTCACTGAACCCTAATTACCTGAGTAATTTTGAGTGCGCCTTACCAAAGGTGCAGTTAAGTACTGTTAAGGGCACATAGCACTCATGAATGGTCCTTTTTTGATATATGGATACTAGTATTCTAATATTAGCTCTTTTCCATATGTATTTTTTTATAATGCGCACTTAATATCTTCCCGTATGCCCAATTATATTTCAGAAGCATTGAATAACTTTTTATATATCTTGGTTTGCTTTCTTCTTTTATTCACTCTTTGAACAAAGAAGTGTGAATAGATTTCTGTATAATTATTTTTTAAAAAAATTATAGGCATTTGAATTGTTATTAATGGAAAAAGTAAAACAGTTTCAATACTAACTCACAAAACTGACAACTAATCATAGTTCATTTTTTCAATCACAGGAGAATTAAATTATTATTATACCAGTGAAAAATTATGCAACTTTTTTCCCACTATGCCTTAGAATTTTTAGTTCAATAAACAGTGAAATTGATATACTATTTGCAGCATTAGCTCTACTTAATTTGAACCTTAGAATAATTTTATTTTCTCTCACTAGATCTTTAGTGAATTTTTAAAATAAAATTTAAATATATGTCAAATATTGATTTTTTGGTTAACATTTTAAAGCTATCTAAATCACACTGATACTTTTTGGTGGATCTGAAAACCAGTTTACCTGGACTTCATTATCTGTTCAATGTTATGATTTTAAGTTAATTTGTTGACTGAAGAGGAATTATGTCCTTCAGGTTTATTCTATCATGATAATTATGTTCCTAATACTGTGAAAAAGATTTGGAAAGATTCATTATATGATGCAATTATATATATATGTATATATATATAATTTTTGACATTACTTGGTTGTATTCTGGCAGTGACTTACATAGTGAGAAGGTTTTGATAAAGGAAGGCAGTGCTTGATTAATACTGGAAAAATGCCAGTGGAGGGTTGACTTTAATCTTGGTCTCCGTGTTTCTGGGGTGAGATGGATGAGAAAGTAGGGAATGTTGCAGTGCTGATGTGGTTCTAACAGACTGCTGCGCTAAGAAAATATTGCCTTAGGGCCTATTTAAGAGAGCACTTGATTTTACCTACACAATAAGATTTTAGTAAAAAGTTTGTAACCAGTAAATAGTTTCAGGAAAAGACAAAGGTAGTAGAAAGGGAAAGGGTGAATGTTCTCCGAGGGATTTAGGAATTTTCCTCTTTTTGCATCCTATCGGGGTTATCCTATTTTTCCTACTTTATACTCGCTGTGTTTGGCGGAGGGTAAAAATGAGATCACAGGAAAAATATAAAAAGGG